AGTTTAAAAAATAGATATACAGAAACATATATTTATGCAGACAATACTAATTTCCTTGATATATAAAGCACTTCCACTATTGATAATAAATAGATCAACATTCTAAGAAAAAATATATGAATAGACAGAGTATAGGAAAAAATAAATACTAAGGACTTTTAAATAAATGAAAAGATGTTCATTTCTATCATAATAAGAAATGCAAATTAAGCTGCATGGAAATTTATGTAAGATAGTTGCAAAAAAATCAAAACGTCGATAAACAAAGTTTTTGTTTTCTATTGCTCCATAACAAATTACCACAGAGTTAACAACTTAAGACAACAGACATTTATTATCTCACGTTTTTTGGGGGTCAGAAGTCTGAGCACTGCATGGCTGGATTCTCTGCTCAGAAATTCAAATGAACAAAATCAAGATGCCCGCAGAGCTACACTCCTTTCTGGTGGCTCTAGGGGAAGAACTCGATTCCCAGGTCATTTAGGTTGTTGATAGGATTTAGTTCATTTACACTAGCGTATTCAAATTCATATTAGTAATGGTGTATTAAGTCCTTCTCATGCTACAAATGTCTCTGACTTCTCACTCACCCCTGAGCTTGAGAAAGTGCGCTTATGTTAAATTAGGCTCACCTGGATACTCTCCTTATCTTACGATCAGTTAGGCCATACAAATTTACATAATCGTGGTAGTGATAACTCATTATATCCACAGGTTTTGTGAGTTAGGTCAGGATAGATGAGTGGAGGGGGCATTTTAGAAACCCTGCCTACTATACATACTGTAGCAGCTTAGGTGTGGGAAGAAATGTACTCTCATTTTTTGCTAGACTATGATGAATATAAACTCACTGAAGAACAACTTTCTAGTTTCTATTAACAGTGACATTTCTTGATAACCATCTATTGACAAGTGCACAGAACTTTGATCAATTCTCCTTATAGTAATTCTATATTATTCTATAGATATACTCACAGATGTGAGAAAAAGCATACACGACAACAGTCATCACTACCGTGTTTGTAGTTTTTAAAAGATTGCAAACAACTCAAGGTGAATCAGAAGTTCACCAGGTCAATAAATTATTATACATCCACATAATGGAATATTATGCTATTGTAAAAAATGAAGATACTCTTGATATACTGATACGACTTCCAAGATGTATTGTTGTATGAAATAAGCTATAAAGTAATGATGTAATAGTATGCTACGAGTGATATAAAAAAGAGGGAGAAAATAGTCTCCCTTCCCCTGTGCCCCATGGGTACATGTAGCAATGTTTGGAGTTAGTTTGGGTTGTCATAATTGAAGGGAGGGGGATGTGCTACTGACATTTAGTGGATAAAGGCCAAGGAAGTAGCTAAATATTCTACAATGCATAGGATAGGACCTTAAAAATGTAATTATCTGGTCAAAAAATGTCAATAGTTCTGAGGTTGAGAAATTCTGCTGTAAAACTACCATTGTGAGATTTTCAGAGTGTTGTCGGTTTTAAAGTTTCATGAAAAAGTTTGTGTCTATTTTGCTCATTCATGTGAGTACTATATAATTCAGTCAAATTCTTTCCTAATTCTTCACATTTCCACACTGGAAAGTCCTGGTATTTTAGATTGCTTGTCTTTCTCTCGATTCCTCTGGATGTTATTATCCAACTCTGCTTGGGTGATAGATTGACTAAAAGTGCCAACATCCTTTCAGGTAGTATGAGAAATGGCCCTGTAGTAGAGTAAAGTAATGCAAAAATTACTCTTGTTACTATCAAGTGAGGCCTCTCCTGATGAGAGATACTGCCTCAGATGATTGACTTTCAATGACCTGCTTCACTCAGGAATCTCTAATTACTCAGGAACCAGAGATATTACTTGCCATCAGGTATTTGCTGCCAGTGAATATGAGAGGAAAATCGAGGGTCACCACAGTAGTCTAGAGGTAGGAAAGGTTGGCAGGAGCTTTGGACGGCTAAAACAAGGTTTTTCAAAAGTTATGATACTCAATCTAATAGGGTGATATTATCAGAACTGTTCAACTTCATGGGGACATGCCCTTCAGAGTTCCTGTCCTCTGTTGGTGTCTGTGTTGATTAGATTTAGCTGCTCTATGGGGACTCAAACTAATAGTGCATTAAATATGATTTAGTTTCAACTCTCTCTCAAATAATAGTCCCAGCCGTGTTGGTAGTTTTGCTATACAATTTAGTCAAGGCCCAGGCTCCTTTGATCTTTTCACTCTATCTACCTTAAAGTGATCAGGTGACCCACTACCGTATTTACAACGAGCCTAAGAAGCAAGATAAGAGAGTAGGGAAAGCATCTCCCATCATTGTAAGGCACCACTTTAACTTTATAATTCAGAAGTGGCACAAGTCAGTTACACGCACAACCAAACCTTGTTTGCATGGCTACATCTAGCAACAAGAAAGCCTGGAAAATGTAATGAACCTGTACAGTCATAGGCACATCTAAAAACTCTACCATGAAAAAATAGGAAAAGTGGATAATGCAGCACAGTTAACAGTCTCTGAAATGATTTCTGTTTGTAGTAAGGCACACTTGTTGCTAACATTAGAGAAATGTGTATCCTTTGTCCCTGATCTCTTGAAGCCTTTCCTCATTCATCATATCCTTTGTAAAAATAATGGATTATTTTTCTGTTAATTCATCCTGCTGCCATCCAATTCATGCTATTCTAATCTATCCAGGCATTAGTCTCATCACTTTATTCTTATTGGCATGGCTTTTTATTATCTGGAATAACTTTTAATCATATGCTACTTTAGTCAATTGTATCGTATATTACTCACTTCCAAATTATTTCATAAACACATTGATTACTATACTTTTGTATTTTATGTCAATGATTTTGGGAGAACAGGTGGTTTTGGCTCTCTGAATAACTTCTTTAGTGGTGATTTCTGAGATTTTGGTGACCCTGTCACTCGAGCAGTGTATACTATGCCCAGTGTGTAGTATTTTATCCCTCACCCTGCTTCTGCCCTTCTCCCTGAGCCTCTGAAGTTCATTACATCATTCTTTTTTTTTTTTTTTTTTTTTTTTTTTGAGACATAGTCTCACTCTGTTGATCAGGCTGGAGTGTGGTGGTGCAGTCTTGGCTCACTACAACCTCTGTCTCTTGGGTTCAAGAGATTCTCCTGCCTCAGCTTCCCAAGTAGCTGGGACTACAGGCATGCATCATCACGCTGGCTAATTTTTGTATTTTTAGTAGAGATGGGGTTTCACCATGTTGGCCAGGCTGGTCTCGAACTCCTGCCCTCAGGTGTTCCACCTGCTTTGGCCTCCCAAAGTGCTGGGATTACAGGTGTGAGCCACTACGCCTGGCCCATTACATCATTGTTATGCCTTTGCATCTTCATAGCTTTGCTCTATTTATAAGTGAGAACATAGGATATTTGATTTTCCATTCCTGAGTTACTTCACTTAAAATAGCAGCCTACAACTCCATCCAAGTTGCTTCAAAGGCCATTATTTTGTTTCGTTTTATGGCTGTGTGCCTAGAGGAAATCTTTTTATCCTATTTCAGAAATATCTTAGTCACTACTCTAACCACTTGGGTTTTCTCCTTGAGAGTAAAAATTGGGAGTTTTGAGGCTTCTTTGAAGTTTCCAATTTTTTCAGAAATTGATTGAGGGACTTTGTATGAACTATGGTCTTGATTCAGTCAAGTTATATGAGCTATTGTTATTTCAGTGCTGTAAAATTGTCCCGCTTAGGGGCTTAGGAACATGGACAGGATTTGTATTGTGATATGGTAGTAGCGACTAGTATAAAAATTCCAGCCATGATTCACATCTCCCACTTGTTAAACCAAGATACATAGAATTTTGAAAGATAATGTCAATAGTTTGCATCTATCAATTCCTAAGAATTTACAAATAATAATCACCACTTCTGCTATTTTTCAACTATTGACAGCAGTTCCAAGAAATGTGACTACTTGTCTTTGCATTTAGAACTACTTATTAATATCTGCATCCTTACAGAAAATGAAGCAAGAAACTTTTATCATCTTGGTTCTATGAGAACCTTGTAAAAGTGTTGTGGGAAAGGTTTTACTGTTGAAGAATGACTGACTGTTTGGCTGGCAGATGGAGAGGCCATTCTCAGAGTGAACATAATGTGCAGTAGCAAGGAGGAAATGAAAGTGCGTGGTATATTTTGAAACTCTTAGATAATAGAAGAAGGACAAGGAGAGAGTAGGGACTGGGCAATGTGAATATGAGTTTGTTGGAAAAGTCCTTATCTAGCAGCGAAGATGTGTGATCTCTATCTCCTGAGTAACACCATTTCACAAATGAAGACCCTGGAATAGTTAACAAGGTTCCTAAAGCCTCTATATTCAATGTGTGGCCCCTGAACCAGAAGCATTGTAATCACCTGGGAGCTTGCTTGTCATAAATACAGATACTTAGACCTTGCTTCAGACATACTGAAACAGAATCTGCATTTTAACAAAAGACCCAAAGGATTGCTTTTACATTGTGTGTGTGTGTGTGTGTGTGTGTACATTTAAAAACATACAGGTGTCACAATATGCATACCGTTTGGTTAATTTTAAAATTTAATACTGTATAATGGATACCTCTTATATCAACACAGATCTACATTATTATTCATCATAAATAAACAGTAAGTTGTTGTATCCATCGCTACTGATTGGTATTCGTATTAATTCAATATTTTGCTGTTGGAAGAAACATTCTGATTCAGAAACACTGACGTAGAGACCACTGAGCAGGACATCTAGGAGACACTGACTTTGTTTCTCCTATATTTCTCCCTTTTTGTTATATCTTGCTGTCTTAATAGACCACGTGAGCACATCACTTTCACTGATCTTTTTTTTTCTTCGTAAATTTAAATTTTAATTGAATTATAAGGCCAGTTCACAGTGCATCTATGGGCAGATTTCTTTGAAATGCATGGTGCTTTAAACTTGGTCTTAAGAGAGGTCCAGGAAAATGCCCACTAAGCCTCTGTGATTTTAATACCTTGCCAGGCCATGGCAAAGTGAGGTGCCTCTGACGTTTGGGCTGCCACAGCGTGTTTTTCAGTTACTCTGGTGACACCTGTGACCTGAGGGTGATTCTGTTCCCGTTACCAACTCGCGCAGGTTGGGAGGCGCCAATGAGAGCAGGGCTTGAAACTAGCGCTTGGCGTCTGATGGTTGCCTAGCGACGGTCGTCGACGCTAATCCTTGGCGGGACAGATCCACATCTGTTTTCTGGCTAACGAGAGGGCAGCCATGAACACCCAAAGGGGTTCCCTTGCCGTGAACACCCAAAGGAGTTCACTCACCATAAGCATCCAAAGGGGTTCCCTCGCCATGAGCATCCAAAGGGGTTCCCTCGTCTCCCGGGATGTGGATAGCCCGGGGAAAGATATGCAGCTGCGGGTGATCCCAGCTGAGGTGAAGTTCCTGGACACGATGGCCGGGAGGGTGTACCGCCTTCCGATTACTGTGCATAATCTTGGCCGCTGGAACCAGAAAATCCGATTTAAGGAGCCCATCAAGCCACAGGTGACACACTAAGGGGTGCTGGGAGCAGGACCTTGTGAGAGCGCCTCCTCACACGGCGTCTCTCTTTGCCCCAGGGAGTAGTCATCTGGCTCCTGCGGGGATGGAGGGAGGATTGGGCTTCCTGGGAAACAGTGACAGGTTTCTGTGTGTGTGCTCTTTTTTTTTTTCCCCCCTTTGTTTTCTGTTTCGTTAAGGATTAGGAGATGGGGAGGGCAGGGTGGAGAAAAGCTGACTTAGAGCCTCCCCATTTGTTCAACCTGGGTTTAGAAACTTGTTAACAATCCCCAAATCTGTGCAGTTTGGTTTTATGATTTTGCTGTTGCCTTAAGAATTATGAGAACAAAATTCTCTATTAACTGTCCTTTGAATCATAAAGTGCCTGATAACTCCAGGAACTGTAGGATTAGTGGAAAGGTTCATTATTTCATATTTTAACAAACATTTCTTAAGCACTTACTCTATAACAGGCATTTGTTAAGCACCTACTCTATAACAGGCAATAGACATGAGGAATACAGAATGGACACAGCCCTACCCTCATAGAACTTAGAAACTAATGAGGGGGTTTTAGTACAGATCTAACCATCAAGATAGTTAATGTTCTGAGAGGGTGTTTCTATCTTATAATTTAAAAGTGGGCAGAATTTCCTCTGTATCTCCCTGTGTTATTTTACATCATGTGTGTGAATGGATGATTATTAGTTCAGTATGATCACATTTTCTCAGGCAAATTTTTGATATAGGAAACGTGGTAAGAATTTTTGAAATATAAGCAATAAATAACTGAAAAGTTCAAGAGATATTCCTAATGAAAAATAGTGTTGAATACAGCCTGACTTATATGTGCAGAAATAAAAAGATGTCCATAATTTTAGATTAAATTTACATATATTTCTTTGTATATATGTAGAAAAACCTATGTTAATGATTAGAAGAGCAATGAGAAAAAGGATTTCCATGTTCTAATTTTTGCTCTGTTAAAAAATCGATGTATTATTTACTTACACTAAAGTACACAGATTTCAAAAGTAAAGTTTGATGAATTTACAAAAAAATAAATATATATGTGTGTGTAGACAGATAGCTAGATATATAATCTCCATTAGCTACCACCTGGATCAAATAATGGAATATGTTCACCACTCAGGAAGATCACCAGTGCTTCTTCCTTGCAGTACCTGGAGTAATCACCCTGTGGAACTGACCACTATTCTGATTTCTAACACCATAGATTAGTTTGGCCTGTCCTTGGCTTTCATATCAATGGAATCAGGTTTTAATGATTTTTATATTTAAATATTTTTATTAAAAAGTATATCTCAAGAGACTATTGACTCCTCTTTAAATCAAAAAGTACTTGCTTACTCCAAATACTGTAAAATTAGGGAAAGGCTGTGTTATTTCACTACCTTAGCACATATTTATGGAACAATTAAATGTGTATCTGAAAATACTTTCTTTTGAAACTCAAGCTGGTGGTAATGTTTGGATGTGGACAAACACTATTTTATGGATGTTCAGGGGACACTTGTATGGATGCTTTCTGTGCAGTAACAAGAAAAATATTATAATTGGTTTCATTTCGGTTTATATCTAGGATATAATGGAAAACAGTTCATTCCACAAGTCTTGACATTGCCAAGAGAACATCCAGATATGCTTACTAGTTAGAAGCCAATATCAGTGTGAATTTTCCTGTTGTAAGACTATGAAATGCACTCCTGATCCTTCATAAAGGGAATTAGATAGTGAAAAGTGCATCTTGTGGGGGTGGGGGATAAGAAAAAGTAAAAACAAGGTGCTCTGGAGAGGTCATTGTCATCATCACTATTATAATTACTCAGAAAATGATTCCTCTAACATACAGCAGTGCTTGTTTTTCACCCAGACTCAAGAACCTGTATTGACCCTATGTATTTTTACACCTATATTGAGCACCTTCCTCGCTTCTTCTCCACTTTTAATATCCATTCTCTAAGACAAGGCCAGGTACACTCCTTCCTAGCCCACAATAATCATGACGTCTCATGGATTTTCATGACACTTATGTCTGTATCACTCATATGGCACTTAACTAGTCCCTGGCTTATATTTAATTTTCAAGGGGTTAGTAGTCTGCTTCCTCAAAGAGATTATATATTCAGGAGAGGGACTCTTTCTAGTTGAAGGGGAGGAAGTGCTTATGATTTAGAGTCAGATAGATATGTTTTTGAATCTTCACTTCCTGAGTGACTTCAGACATTAATTATACTTTACATATCCAGTTCCCTCATCTATATACTGAGAGCCTTAATATCAGCCTCACAGGACTGTAGAAGTGTATTTACATAAGATAATAGATGTAAAATGCTTGACACATTATAAATGCATAACAGATATTATTTCTCTTTTTTCTCCCTTTATATTTTTCCTGGCATCAAGCACATGTCTTACTAGAACAAAAGTGTTTTTGTCCTCTTCGTTATATTCTTCTTTTATATTTCCTCCAAGTTATGAAGCTGAAATTCCCATGAATAAAGCATATGCAATATACATATGAGGGCCGGCACGACGGCTCATGCCCGTGATTCCCAGCACTTTGGAAGGCTAAGGCGGGTAGATCACGAGGTCAAGAGATTGAGACCATCCTGGCCAACATGGTGAAACCCCGTCTCTATTAAAAATATAAAATTAGCTGGGCATGGTGGCGCGCACCTCCCAGCTACTCAGGAGACTGAGGCAGGAAAATCGCTTGAACCTGGGAGGTGGAGGTTGCAGTGACCCGAGATTGCACCACTGCACTCCAGCCTGGTGACAGAGCGAGACTCCGTCTCAAAAAAAAAAAGTATATATATTTACACACACACACATATGTGTATATAAATATATATATACTTATATATATGTGTGTATATTTATGCACAAACACATATGTACGTGCATGTGGGTATATATTATGTATGTATATGATTGAGCAACATTTTTATTAGGTTGTTCTTCCTTTTTTCTGTATTTAGATTTTAAGCTTCTTAGAATAGAGGCCATATTAGTTCTATATGTATATTTTTAAAGTAGCCTATTGGCATTTATATGTTTCTTAGCTACCTGCATTGTCAGATTCAAGTTGTGTACTCTTGAAAGCATATCTTAAAGATCTAGAATCAGATAGATATAAACATGAGCATTAAGTCTTTGCCTTTAGGTACATAAGACAAATATCACATGCTCTCACTTATATGTGAAATATAAAAATTCAGACTCGTAGAAGTAGAGGGTAGAATGGTGGTTACTAAAGACTGAGGGTTGAGGCGGGCAGAGAAAGGAAAAATGTTGGTCAAAGGGTACAAAATTTCAGTTAAACAGGAAGAATTAGTTCGGGTGATCTATTGCACAGCAAGGTGACTATAGTTAATAATAATGTATTGTATATCTCAAAATTGTTAAAAGAATGGATTTTAAATGTCCCCAGTACAAATACATAAGTGATGTGATGGATATATTAATTAGCCTGATTTGCTCGTTCCACAATGTATACCTGTATTAATACATCATGTTGTACTCAATGAATATATACAATTATTTGTCAGTTAAAAATAAAATTAAAAAGTCTTTGGCATTAGGGCAGGAATAGAGCCTGTATTTTGATAATAATATAACCCTCCTAACTATAGTTGCTCACATTATTTATTTATTTATTTTTTGAGATGGAGTCTTGCTCTGTCACCCAGGCTGGGGTGCAATGGTACGATCTCAGCTCACTGCAATCTCCATCTTCCGGGTTCAAACAATTCCTCTGCCTCAGCCTCCTGAGTAGCTGGGACTACAGGTGGGCACCACCACGCCTGGATAATTTTTTGTATTTTAGTAGAGATGGGGTTTCACCATGTTGGCCAGGATGGTTTCGATCTCCTGAACTCATGATCCGCTGGCTTCCACCTCCCAAAGTGCTGGGATTACAGGCGTGAACCATTGTGCCCGGCCACGATATTTTTTTCATAAGGAGTTAAGATGTATAATTTGATTCTCTTTCTCCCACTGAAGTTCAAACTGATGTTGACCAGTCTGGATAAAGAACTTGCTTCTGGCCTTCAGATGACAGCTATGGTGGAATATCATCCTGATAAAGATGAAGACACTTTTGACCGACTACTTATTTCAATAGAAAATAAAACAACAGAAATTCCTCTAATTGGGTATGTAGTCTTCATAGTTCATGCTGATGTTTTGAATGCTCTTTAAATAAAAATGAGGGTCAAAGTAATATTCTGTATTTTTTCTGACATAGTTTCCTTACAGTTGAACTTAAAGGACACATTTTTAGAAAATTGTAATGTTTGTAAGAAATGAAACCTCATTCTCTGTTATTTTTATTAAAATAACAACATTCGACAATTGAATGTATTAATAATTGGATTTTTGCAAACCTGTATTCACATTTTAAGTTAATTTTAAAGTATTGTCAGGTTCACTTCACTAAATTTTAAATTAGGCAAATGTTTGGTGTCAAAAAAGTCAAAATGCTGTTCTTCTGAGACTGGTTGAAAAATGTGGATGGATATAAGTATAAAAAAGAGCTAAGTGACTGACTTGGTTGTTACAAATTATTTATTTGACCAGGATGAATGATGATTCATTTGTTGTTTTTTAATATTAAAAAGTATATTTCTGTTCATTGTAAATTTATCTATCAAAATTAGTATTAAAATTTACAGTGTTTCTTTATTTATATACATACACGTATGATCCTCCTTTTCCCCAGCAAAATGTGGTTTCCATAGGTGTTTTCTTTTGCCTCTATTTTCCCAACACCTACAGAATTAATTTGGAATATTTTCTGCTGATTACGTGGTATTAGATATATACCTTTTAAAAAATTCCCTTTTATTCAAGCTGGATGTGGTGGCTCATGCCTGTAATCCTAGTACTTAGCACTTTGGGAGGCCGAGGTGGGTGGATCGCTTGAGCTCAGGAGTTGGAGACCAGCCTGGGCAACATGGTGAAACCCCACCTCTACAAAAAATACAAAAAAAAAAAAAAAAAAAAAAGCTAGGAGTGGTAGTGCATGCCTGTAGTCCCAGCTACTTGTAGGGCTGAGGCAAGAGGATCACTTGACCTCAAGAAGTAGAGGCTACAGCGAGTTGAGATCACGCTACTGCACTCCAGTCTGGGTGACAAAGTGAGACCCTGTCTCAAAAAAAAAAAAAAAAAATTCCCTTTCTTTTTCATTTCTATGAGCTAAATTTAGATCCTCAATTATTTTGTTTCTTCGTGTTGTTGAGAAGTTCTGATTTGGCACATCATCCCATTTTGCATAGGAATCAAACAGTAGACACATGGTAGGAAAAAACAAGCTATTAACCCAGTATAAATATTTAATTTGTGTTTTGCAATTTAAGTAGAACCATTTTGGATGCATTCTGCACTTTGACATATCTATGAGTGGCACTCAGATTTGCTTGTTTGTGGTATGTATGGAGAGACAGGTTGAAGATGCTTCTGTCCTCGAAAACAGATTTTTTTCTTGTTTCCAGAGTTTTGTTTCTTGTTTCTGATGCCCTCTCTCATCAGAAGTCTATTTCTCACCATGGTTGCAATATAAGGAGAGCACTGCCCCTCTTTTGGTGTGATGGACAAGGTTGAAGGAAGGGGTGTGTGTGTGTGTGTATATGTGTGTGCATGTGTGTTATCAATTTCTATACATTTTTTATCACCTGTGTAGGTTCTTGTATCCACCACCATAGTCAAGATAGTGAACAGTTCCAATACCACAAGAAAATCCCCCCTGTTGCTTTATTACAACTGTATCTACTTCCCTTCTGCCTCACACCCGCAATCCCTAAACTGTGGATACTGCTAATCTGTTTTCTATGTCTAAAATTTTTGTCATCTCAAATATATTACATAAATTGAATCACATACTATGTAGCCTTCTGTTTTTTTCTTGCAGCAACATTTCTTGCAGGAGATTCAGCCAAGTTGTTGAATGTATCAATATTTTGTTCCTTTTTAATGCTGAGTAGTATTCTATGATATCTATATATCTATATATCTATATATATATATATATATATATATTTGTTTAACAATTGACCTGTTGAAGAACAAAGGGACAGATTCCAGTTTTTAGCTATCACAAATAAGCTGTTTTAATATTCTTGTACAAGTTTTGTGTGAGCATAAGTTTTTATTTTTTCTGGGATAAATGCTCATGAGTGTAATTGTAGGGTCACATGGTAATTACGTATTTTGTTTAACAGAAAATCCCAAATTGCTTTTCAGAGCGCCTATACCATTTTACATTTCAAATAGTGATACATGAGTAATCCACTTGGACGATATATTTGCCAGTATTTTTTGCTTTCATCACTATTTAAAAATTTTAGCTATTCTGATAGATATTTAATGGAATCTCTCCATAGTTTTAATTTGCATTTCCCCGATGACTAATAATGTTGACAACATATTTTCAGGTGCTTCTTTGCCATCTGAGTACCTCTCTAGTGAAATCTCTGTTAATGTGTTTTTCTCATTTTCTGATTACACTACTCTTTATTATTGAGTTTTGCAATTTCTTTGTATATTCTGGATACAAGCCTTTTGATAGTTATGTAGCTTGCAAATATGCTCTCCCAGTTTGAGGTTTGACTTTTCATCCTTTTAACAGGGCATTTTGTAGAACAAAAGCGTTTTTTTTTTTTTTTTATGTTCAATGATGTCCAATTTATCAATTTTCCTTAAATTAGTATTGCTTTTTAGTGTTAAGTCTAAGAACTCTTTGCCTAACCCTTGATCATAATGGTTGAAGATTTTCTCCTATTTTTAACTTTTAAAGTTTTATATTTAAGTCTATGATATATTTTGAATTAATTTTTGTATAAAGTGTGGTTTACATTGAGGTTCTAATTATTGCCTATAGATGTTCAATTGCTCCGACCAAATTTGTTGAAAAAGCTATTTTCCTTCATTGAATTGTATGCCCTTGATAAAATCACTTCAGCATAATCTGCATTGGTCTATTTCTGTGTTCTGCATTTTTCCATTCATCTGTGTATCCATACATTTGCCAACATCATGCTACCTTGATTACCTTTGCTATATAGTAATTCTTAATATCATGTACAGTAATTCCTCACGTGTTATTATTCTTTGTCACCATTAGTTTAGTTATCAGAATATCTCTACCTTTCCATGTAAGTTTTAGAATAATCTTTCTGAGCCTGAAAAAAAATATTGCTGGGATTTTGAGAATAATTGAGCTTAGCTTATAGATCAGTTTGAGGGAAATTGACATCTTTACTATGGTAAGTCTCCCCAAATATGAATGTGCTGTGTCTTTCCATTTATTTGGGTCTTCTTTGATTTCTTTTATCAGTATTTTGTAATTTTCAGCACAGAGATTCTCTACATATGTTGTTAAGTATATAACTATTTCATTTTCTTTGAAGTGATTGCAAATAATATTGTGTTTTTAATTTTGGTTACTGCATATTGCTTGTTGCTATATACAGAGAAGTGATTGATTTTTGTTTGTTGACATTGTATCCTCTAACCTTGCTGAACTCCCTTTTTAGGAGGTTTTTGTATGTTTTCTAGATTCTTTGCCATCTTATATGTAGATAATTGTGTCATCTGCAGACAGGGATAGTTGATTTGTGTGTTTTTTCCCATTCCAAAGTATATGCTTTTAACCTTTTTTTCTTGCTTTATTTCCATGGCTAGAACTTTCAGTATTATGTTGTGTAAGAGTGGTGAAACTGGGCTCGGTGGCTCACCCTTGTAATCCCAGTACTTCGGGAGGCTGAGGCAGGCGGATCACCTGAGGCCAGGAGTTCGAGACCAGCCTGGCCAACATGGAGAAACCTCATCTCTACTAGAAATACAAAAATTAGCTGGGTGTGGCTGTGCACACTTGTAATCTCAGCTACTTGAAAGGCTGAGGCACAAGAATCACCTGAGCCTGGAAGGTGGAGGTTGCAGTGAGCTGAAATCATGCCAATGCACTTCAGCCTGGGTGTCAGAGTGTGGCTCATCATGTATCATTCTTTTTATATATTCTGGAATTTGATTTGCTCATGTTTTATTAGGGATTATTGTGTCCCCGTTTATTGGTGATATTGGTTTATAGTTTGTTTGTTTGATTGATTGATTGGTTTGCTTTTTTTTATTGTCATTGTATGGTTTTGCTATCAGGATAGTGCCAGCCTCATAAAATGAATTTGGAAATGCTCCCTCTTCTGTATTCTAGAAGAACTTATTTAATATTGATAGCAATTATTTAAATGGTAGAATTCTCTAGTGGAACTGTCTGGCCTGGAGATTTTTCTTTCAGAATGTTTTAAATTATGAATTTAGTTTTTTAATTCTTATAGGGCTATTCATACTGCCTATATTATTATGTTGGTGGAGTTACTGTAGTTTCTGATTTCCACGGAATTCTTCCAATTCTAAGTTATCAAATTTATTATTTTAGAGTTGTTAGAATTTTTTTCTTATTATTTTTAAATAAATAATAAGCTGCTGCATCTGTAGTGATATCCTTTCTTTCATTTCTGATGTTGAACATGTGTGTATTTTGTCCTTTTTTAAAGTATTGCTAGTGGTTTATCAACTTTATTGACTTTTTCCAAAGAATCAGCTTTCTATCATTGACTTTCCTATCATTTTATTTTAAATTCTGTTGATTGCTGCTCTCTATTATTTCTTTTCTTCTTCTTGATTTGAATTAATATTGCTCTTGTTCTAGTTTTTGATATTGGAAATTAGACAATGAGTTTGAGATAATTTCTCATTTCTAATGTAAATATGTAATGTTATAAATGACCCTCAGCACTGCTTTAGCTGTGCCCTACAAATTTTTATGTTATATTTTTATTTTGACTCAGTTTTATGTATTTAATTTTTTTTAAACTTTCTCTTTGATTCCTGGATTATTTAAAAGTGTGTTAATTTCCACAGGTTTATTATGGACATATTTATGATCATTATTCCTTTCTGTTAGATTGATCCTTTTATTATATATAATATCCCCCTTTGTTCATGGTGATTTTCTTGCACTGAAACCTCTATTAGATATTAATGTAGCTTTTTGCACTTTTTTTCTAAGTAAAACTTGAATACTATGTTGTTTCCTATTTGTTTACTTTCACCCTGCTATGGCCTTGAATTTAAACTGAGTTTCTTCTAAGCAGCAACG